TCTGTATGAATGTATGCATGTTCGGAATACAAATTTTGTTTCTGAACCGATAAGACCCAAATTCTGCACAGAGATTTTAGACGCCGGGGAGTAACATAGCTAATTTATACAGTAGTTAGTCGTCTGAGGCGTTAGTTTGCATTTTTGGCCAAATTACGACATTTTTAAAAATGGAGTAAATCGTTATCAGACTACTTAAGCAAGATCGTGAAGACACATATAGTTGCTGAATGGAAGTGCGTTGAAGCGGGTTGCTGTATGGATTAGCAGTAGGAATCAGAGTTCAACGATAATTGTAAGGCAAAGACAGACAAGTTGTGTGCATTAGAAGAAGTGAAGGAAAGTGTATCATTCGAAAGTATTATGTTAGTTGTATCTGAGCATTCAGCTGCTTTGGGTAACTAGAAGAAATTGGCAGGCTCACCTACTTGAAATCAAGCAGGAGGTAGGAGAGGTTTGAAGAACTCTCAGAACTTTCTGCACTTCCACTTCCTCTCTACAGTTGTAGTAAACACTAGTCATTTTTTGATTAGAAGTTCTAACTTTAAGTGTTGCTCAATGTGGCTTTACTGCGTCCACCAACTTGAGATTTCCACAAGCAGAAAGGACACGATATAGCAAAAATGGACGGATTAGTGACAATGATAGAGCCCCATATATAAAAGCTAAGTTGTAAGTTGTACCCCAAAGATTCTCTAAAAAAAGAGCAAAGAATTATATGCCAGCTATTTACTAGTAAATCGATGACGTTGAAAAAGCACTTTGTTGCGTCAAACATGTTCCTTGTTTAAAAATGAACTTGTGCAATTATAAGTCGCTACCAAACTAACTAAAGAAGATCAAGCAAGTACATATGATTTTGAGATTAAGGTTAGTGCGGGGCGGTTGTTCATTTGAATAATAGACGAGCATAGCGTGATAGATGTTGAGAACAATCAAAATAAATAAGCAAATTAGTTTTTTTCTTGGCAGCTGATAAAGGAATAAAGCAGCTTGATAAGGATTCACAGTGATAATGTATGCACCCCGCTGAGTTTCCTATTGCATTTTATAAATGAAAAAATAAATTAGGTTTCATTAGTAGATGACGAGGTGGCCGGGTTTGCCGGCTAGTTTAATTCTAGAGCAGAGTAGAATGACGATCAGAACAGTTCGAATTACTAAACAGACAGGCCTAAATAAAGAATCACGGCAAATTGCAAGAAAAGAAAATACAAGAAAGGAAATTTTTTGAAATGGAAGTTTTGAACTGAGAAGAGGATAAAGAACGACTCCGGATAAAGAAATGATGGGAAATAGTAAAATAACATATATATGATTGCTTGAAGAGCGGGAAAAGATTCACTAGATTCAAGAGACGAAAACATATAAAGTTTTGCACTCTTAAAAGTAAAATAAAGCTTTACAGTAAATGAAGAAAGATAACAAAAATTTTAGAAAAGCTGTTTGATGCGCATAGCTTCAGTTCAAGATGAAGAAGACCTCAAAATCATGATTCACAAAATTGAAAGACTTGTAGGTAGGCAG